TGAAACTTAAACCTCTCTACACCCTAACATCAGTATCAATGTTTTCCATACTTTCCTCTGTATAATTCTTCTGGTACTGACAAGGAGAATTTGTTTAACAATCAAAGGTTGTTAAGTTGGTGATCATTTGCCATATTCTCATTATCTTAAAGAATGACTCGGTACTATTATTGTGAGGAGAAATTAAAAACTGGTCACTCCGGGGGTTCATTAGGGTTAAAAACACAAATATCTACATGAAAAACTATTGAATACCTATAAATTCCCTTGTCATGAAAACCTAACAATCCCATCAGAAATCTGAAAGAATCGTCCAAACGCATCGATCTGAGGCTCGGCACCCTCACATGCTTCCTCTAGCTCGCCCCAGGCTTGTCACCGCTCACTCGAAAAGGACCCAGAGGCTGAGAGAAGATCCTAACGAATTACTGCAAGACAATTAACATAAGAAAAAACAAATTAATTTACTTCCTTGCTTCTTCTCCAGTTGTCCTTGGAGCGAGTTCATTCGTTTTCCTCACTTGGCGCATAAGCTTACATGTTGTCCATGAATCCATATTTGACGGTGGAGATATTTCCATGTTCATGTTGGGTAGTTTCTCACAGTTTCCACGTCAAGTGAGTTGTCAGTGAAAAGGCGCTCGGTGCATACAATGGAATAACGCTCCACAAATAAAAGATTGTCCTGTGCTTGGTCTAATAGAAATCCTACGTAAATCGGCTGACGACAAGCGGACAAAATCAATAGGTATTTGATAATACCTAAAGGACCTTTTCCATTGGAGCTTATGTTTGTCCGTTCAGCGTGCCTGGGAAAGAGAGTGATTACGGAACCGACAGTCGAACAGAAATAGACAATCACATTTTATTGGCTGCCTGATGTGACTGACGTATGACGTGTGTTGGAAAAAACTCAAAGGACGAAAAGAGATGGTTAAAATTATTTTCCAAGCAGGGCACTGAAGGCTACAGATTGTGGTAAGTACTGTCTATGAAAACAACTGATTCGCTTCCATTATTTTGCCTTGACATAGACTAAGGAAATCGTTTTGGCTTGGAGCATCAGGTTTAAAAACTGCCTCAAACCTCGTTCAGTTATGAATGATGTGATAAATGACTCGGCAGAAGAGAATTCTGATATCTGCGATAGAAATTGAAAGAAATTCAGAAACTGCAAAGTCGGTTTATCGTTTTTAATCCCACCTAGACCTATCAAACATTGAATAAATTCGACGAATTAACTGGTATTTTCACCGACACTGGACATGATGATTACTTTCAAGCTACCTTCTCTGAAGATTAAATTCCGACATCCTCTGAGTTAGCCGAAGGGCTATCTACTAACGCTCCAGCCTCGCGCAGAATTCAAACCGTAATGTGAAAAATATGAATTCCGAATGTCCATTACAAAAGCTTAAATGAAATTCATTTTGTTCCTTGCAATGAAGGAAAGATAAGGAGAGACGGATATTTGTTATCCTACTTTTGAAGCGCCATCTAATGTGCGTAAATATATTTCGGTTTTGAACGTCTAACTTTTTTACCGATGATGGATGTGAGCATGCAAAAATGAAACAATTCACTTTTGTGGCAGGTAACATCCGGTCTCAGTATACATTGTTTTGCGAGAACCGTTGGCTTTTTATCCCAAAGTTACAAACAAGACTTGTTGCAGTGCTGAATTGAAGCTTCTGTCTTGAAAAGGTAAGCTATTTGTACTCGATGACAATCTCTTCATGAACTGTTCATTTTCCAGTTACTGCGATTTACGTCATCGAAGACAAAGTTGGTAAATAATAGGGACCGGTTGGGTTGATCAGTGTTGTACCCTTAAAAGACAACGCATTGCTATCATCGTTTGTCTTTTAAGGGTGTTAATCTAAGTAAGACGGAAATATTGTAATAATCACGTGATGTCATGATCGAGAGGATCTTGCTTCATGAAAGTGAGAAATGATACATCTTTTAGGGAGGGGAGGGAAAGGTGAATAATGAACGTGAACCACTCTTACAAAGAGGAATTTTTCTAAGAATGTACAACATCGGTCATCTATTTGAGTTTATACATTCTCTTTATTCAGGCAAACGATTTAAACTTGAAAAGTAGTGCACCGAGCGATTAGCTGAATTATCAAAAGTTGAAAATTCTATTTCTTCTGATATTCTCCTGATATTCTCGGGCCTTGTCATGTGTTGTGTTCTGTTAGCCAGTTCAATTTTCCCAGTTTGTCTCTGATTTGCGTGATTCGCGTGACAGTGTAACGAACACCCCAGTAGAACAGACGGCAAAGGTGTGTTCCTCTTTGATGGGCAATGTAAAAAGTCCATCTACAAAACAAGAGGCTTGAGTCCAAACTCCGTAGAAAACATGTATTAAACTTGTTAAATGAACCACAACATTTCAATTGCTAAAATAAAAACTTCGAAACCTCATAGAAATCCAAACAGAGGGTTAGAGAAATTGCGCGAACGAAGGCTCAAAAACAATTTACTATACTAAACTCCGTTAAAACAAGCAATAAAAGTATGCGAAAAATGTCCACGTCAGTTTTCCAATGTCAAGATTAGAGTTCTTTGACCTGATTTGCGAATTGTGAAATCACTTGCACCGCGCATGAATACAAAAATAATACAAGGCGGGGAGAGGAAGATAAAAATTGCAATTTGCAACTAAAGAGATTTTCTACAAACAATCCGTGTGTAAGTTTTCACTAATTTGTCGTTTTTTTTCAACTGAGAAGAAACAGGGTCAAGATGGACAGCATAGAGGAAGCCTTATCAGCTATCTACATAGGTTTAACGGTCGCCGAGTTCCTCTGCAAAACTGGTCGAGTGTTGCAAGCCATCGAGGTGATCAAGGAATGTTTGATTATATTACACAGTCAGGTGCTGGCTATCGATGGTTCATTGGCAAACACTATTTTCAGTGCCATCTACATGAAAATAATCCTTGCTTACGTTTATATAAAGGATTACACAAGTACAGAAAAATACCTTGGGAAACTCTTCCTATACCTAGACTGTAATGACACCTTTGAAAAAGGATGGCTACATTTATTCCTGGCAGAAATACTTCGGGTACAAAGTAAGTTCATGGAGGCCTGGAAATTTTACGAATCAGCAGTCAACATCATGAAAACGATAGGAAACACAAAAGGCCAGGCACAATGTTATAGAAGCCTCGGAAAAACGTTACAATCGCTTGGTCAATATGACAAGGCCCGAGAATATCTGGAGAAAGCACTCGCTATCGATACAGGAATTGGCAACAAGGATGGAGAAGCAACAAGCTACGGAAACCTAGGAACTTTGTTCCACTCACTCAGTCAATATGACAAGGCCCGAGAATATCAGGAGAAAGCACTCGCTATCAGAATAGAAATTGGTGACAGGAATGGAGAAGCAACAAGCTACGGAAACCTAGGAGCTTTGTTCCAATCACTCGGTCATTATGACAAGGCCCGAGAATATCAGGAAAAAGCACTCGCTATCGAAATAGAAATTTGTGACAGGAATGGAGAAGCAACAAGCTACGGAAACCTAGGAACTTTGTTCCACTCACTCAGTCAATATGACAAGGCCCGAGAATATCAGGAGAAAGCACTCGCTATCAGAATAGAAATTGGTGACAGGAATGGAGAAGCAACAAGCTACGGAAACCTAGGAACTTTGTTCCAATCACTCGGTGATTATGACAAGGCCCGAGAATATCAGGAGAAAGCACTCGCTATCACAATAGAAATTGGCAACAGGGATGGAGAAGCAACAAGCTATGGAAACCTAGGAACTTTGTTCCAATCACTTGGTCATTATGACAAGGCCCGAGAATATCAAGAGAAAGCACTCGCTATTGAAATAGATATTGGCAACAGGGATGGAGAAGCAACAAGCCACGAAAACCTAGGAACTTTGTTCCGATCACTTGGTAATTTTGAAAAGGCCCGAGAATGTCAAGAGAAAGCACTTGCTATTAAAGTAGAAATTGGCAACAGGGATGGAGAAGCAAAATGCTACGGAAACCTAGGAACTTTGTTCCAATGCCTTGGCCAGTATAGCGAAGCTAAAGAGTGTATGGAGAAAGCACTGCGTATCCTAAAGAAAATTGGTGATAAAAGAGGAGAGGCAAGTAATTATGGAAACCTCACAGGTTTGTTTATCTCGCTCGGCAAGTATGCAAAGGCTGACGATTATCTAAAGAAGGCAATAGCAGTTAGAGAGGGTATCGGAGATAGAAGCGGAGAAGCAGCAGACTACAGACATCTTGGTAAAATTTCATGTAAGCGTGGTGAATATGACAAGGCTCAAGAATATTACAAGAAAGCCCTTACAATTCTCATGGAAATCGGTGAGAGAGAAGCAGTAGCAGTCAACTATGACGATTTAGGATTGTGTTTTACATCACTTGGTAAAAATGACATAGCCGAAGAGTACTTTAAGCAGGCTCTCCTATTAAGTAGGGATATTGGACAACACTTGCACGAGTTTTACTCTCTTTGTTATCTATCGATGTTGAAGGTGTCACAATGTCATCTTGAAGAGGCTTCTTCGTATCTTTTTCAAGGCATCCAAAAGTTCGACACTTTGAGAGGTTTTCTTAAAGAAAACGATCAGTTTCAAATATCTCTTTTAGAAGAGCACGGCACCTTTCCCTATATGTACTTCAGTCGGCTGCTTTCTTCCACTGGTAAGCCGCAAGACGCCCTTTATGTCGAAGAGCTGAGAAGGGCAAGAGGCCTGGCCAACCTGATGGCAGCTCGGTACTCTGTTCAAGAGCAGATCTCGAGCGATCCACAATCTTGGTGTGGCATTCAAGGAATCATCACAAAAGAAGCAGACTGTGCATGCCTGTACATTTCGGTTGGTCAAAATGGTGTACGGTTTTGGATCATTAAAGCAACGGGAGCTATTCATTTTTCGGAAGAGGAAGTGAGCCTAGACAAAAACAAGGTGACCGGAATAGTCCCTGAGTTAGATGAGTATATTAAACAAGCCTTCCGCACCCACGCCATTTTACCCGAACAGAATTGCGAAGATCGATCTTTAGATGACACCGAAATGATGTCACTTCACTACGACAACCGCTCAGTGCTGCGTGACTACGACACCGAAGATTTCAAAACAAGTCTTGACTTGTGTTACAAGATTATCATCGCTCCTGTGGCCAGTTTACTGAATAAGCCCGAGATCATAATTGTCCCAGATTCCTGTGTGTACCAAGTGCCATTTGCTGCCTTGGCTGACGAAGGAGGCAAGTATTTATCAGAGACATGCAGGATTCGGCTAGTTCCCTCTCTCACGACTCTCAAGCTTGTTCAAGACAGTCCTCCAGATTATCACAGTGAGACCGGGGCACTGATAGTGGGTGACCCTGTGGTTGGAAAGGTGATTTACAAGGGAAGGTGCAGAAATATGACACCATTGCCATGTGCGAGAAAGGAAGCAGAGATGATTGGGGGACTTCTTAGCGTAACGCCTTTGATAGGAGATTCCGCGACAAAGTATTCTGTACTCCAAGCGATAAGTTCAGTGAGCCTGATACACATTGCTGCCCATGGTGATGCCGAAAGAGGGGAGATTGCTCTTTCTCCTGAGCACCCTACCCTACTCCCACCTTTCCCTCGAGAAGAAGATTATCTTTTGACGATGGAGGATATTTCAAAAACTCGATTGCGAGCTAAACTAGTGGTGCTTAGTTGTTGTCACAGTGCTCGTGGACAGATTAGAACCGAGGGAGTAATTGGACTTGCCCGAGCGTTCTTAGGATCCGGAGCTCGTTCAGTGTTGGCGGCTAGATGGGCCCTGGTTGACACAGCCACAGAGCAGTTCATGACTTGTTTCTACAAACATTTGTTCCGCGGTGAAAGCGCCAGTGAATCTCTCCACAAGGCCAGGAATTGGATGAGAAATAACGGCTTTGACAAAGTTTCTCAATGGGCGCCATTTATGATCATGGGCGACAACGTGACATTTGATTTTGGAAATTGGCCGGTGCCTAGCGCACCTTAAGAGCCATGACTTTGATAAAACCTCTGTAGCAGAATGAACTAGATTTAGTAAAGCTCAGAACTATTTAATTACAAGCCTGTGAAAAGAGGACGCCATCTGCGAAGGACAACTCGGATCGATACACAGAGGAAAGCATTTCTGTAAAATGCTTATCAGACATCTAAGTTTATTAATTTGAAATAAGACAGCGTGTGGCGTATCTCTTTACAAGATTTCCGAAGTTAAAAAAACTTCAATTTATTTTTTTAAGTCATTAGTTCAGTGAACAAGCCAAGCAAAGTGTGACAGCTTTTAGGTTTCGAACGCGGTAAGTTCTTCAAGGAAAGAAAATTTTTAATCCTTTTTCAAAGGTGATTAGTTATTCATCAATTCAAGAGAATTTTTTACACAAATGTGTGACCTTGGAAAAGAAGTGTTTTCTAAGCTTAAATTTTTGGAAATTTCTTGCAAGGTTTTTGACCAAAATATTGTGGTGTAACATGCCAAAATAAATATATTTAAAGAAAAGAAAAAAGGAGATACTCTTAATCGTATAGTAATGCAAACCATTGTATTTTCATAGATACCCCAGTAATTTTATCAATTTAATCCTTTAACCCTAAAGAGCGATTAGCATCTAATTTCTCCTTACAGTGAGCTCTTGATTGTTAAGCAAAATCTCCTTGTCACCACCCTAGGAAATGTATAGAAAACAGCATGGAGAATGTGTATACTGATCTTAGTGTGTAAAGGGTTAATTGATACCCCTATGCGTAGATACCGTTGTATCCTCACACAGACTCTTGTATGCTTATAGATACTTTTGTATACTCATTATCCTTCACTTTCGCTCTGCCGCTACTATTTCGCTCTTGCCTGATGAAATAGATGACCCTCGTGTCAGCCATTTAGGATTCAAATCCCCTCTTTAAATCGCTCTCCCGGGCCTCTGAGAGGTTGCACATTGGGTGCGTGAGCCAATCCTTCCAATAATTTTCGAATTGTCTTATTTCCGATACAAGGAAACTGCCATGCGCATTTCCCGTCTAGTGAAAGACAGTCCGCGGACCTCCCTGGAGAAAGCTGGTGACTAGATAGAGTACGTACTCAGACATGGTGGAACCCAGCACCTCAGAGCTCAAGTGTTTGACATCCCTTGGTACCAGTACTACTTACTTGACGTCATAGCTTTCCTTGTTGCCATAGCAGCGATAATTGTCATGGTGATAAGACTGGCATGTCGATGCCAGTGTCATGCATGCTGTAAAAGGTGTGTTGACAAAACTAAAAACGATTAAAATCTTGATTGCTCTTCTCCCTTAACACAATTAAGCGCGATTAGAATTAATGCACCTGTCGAATCAAACTCATTATATGTCACAAGATAAGTGGGTTTGATCAAATGACTTTATAAAATGAATTGACCACCATAAAGACTTTCTAAAGCTGACGTGTGGAGCGTTAACCCTTCGTCATGCGCTCTGACAGTTTCCTCCAGTACAGGAGAAGTTAAAAAGCATGGCTCACAATTTCGGACTATTTTTTCAACAGCAATTGACGTTAGATACTGATTTTGATTTCTACTCAAAATAATCCAATTAACGGCGTTTGACTCCACAATAACACGCTAAAATAGCGTGTAATACTTAATACGAAATATCGACAAAAATTTTGCATTTCGTTCGGCTACATCTGGCAACCTTCGGAATTCATCACAACAACTTCGGAGGTCCACGAAACGTCTTCGCTAATGTTTGGAAATCGACTGATGTTTTTTTCCAAAATACCTTGACCCGGAGAAAGCTACTGCATAGGTAAACATTAAATATCAAGTAAATAATTTTTCTACGGCACAAATATTTTTTTCCAATTTTTTACTTAAATAAATATGCAATACAGTGGCAATGACTCTGAGTCCATTTGTTTAGAGTTTGTAATACAAATATAGTTCTGACAAATATTAAAATGGAATGTTGAAGGGATAATGAGGATGAGCACTATCTCGAGGGACTTTCTTACCATCAACCTGAAAAGAAAGAAAGGTGAAAAAGAAAAAAGGTTAACTCTTGAAAAAAGCCTCTAGCGTGCAATTTTCTCTTCCAGCCATATAGCCTGTTAGTTCTTTCAATCCTAGTAGTGATTAAGATACAGTATCAATATCTCATGGGGCAGACACATGATAAGAATAAAGAAAAATATCGGGCGAGAGAAATTCTCTCATTTAGGGCACTAGTTGTTATTTATTGCCGAGGGAGGGATGAAGCTTTTTTATTTATTTATTTATTTATCTATTTATGTATATCCATACCGGATACCGATATATTATTTTAAGGGGGGGGGGAGGTCAATAAGAATATTTCAGAGCCCTTGGGGGGAAATCAGTGGACACTAATAAGAATGCCAAGGGGTGGTATGAGCCGACAAACCATGCCACAGCCATTAAGGGAAGCTTCAGAGTAAAAGTATGACCTAAGGTTTGGCATGGTGCAGGATGAGCCAACCAAGTTTAAGAATGCTTTGCTGTCTCTGAAGAACAGGCAAGGTCAGAGAGTGAGTGGGTGATTGAGTAAACAGAGAAAGAAGTGGGAGGGAGAGGTTGGAAAGAGAGGACAGAGTCGGTAAGGAGGGGACAGTACTACTTCTTTCATGGGAATAAGAACTCTCCAAGATTTGTTGATTGATTCAACAAGCCTCATGTCGTCATCAGAGAGTGTGAAATCAAAAACCTGCATATGTTTAGGGAATGTTATGTTGTTACCTTTTGCTCATAATTGCAGATGAAGAAGAACCATGTGTGGGTGGCAATACATATGCAGATGAGGAAGAACCATGTGTGGGTGGCAATACATATCTTGATTGACAAATATAATGTGTAGCATTCCTCCTCTACTTTTACTAAATACATGTTTTTTTTATTTCATAATTCTTTAGATCAGTTTTGACATCTATTCACTTATTTACTGGTAATTACCCATGCAGGGTCATTTGTGATATTGACACTGTGGAAGCTGCTAACAAACAATAAACAGAAAAAAAAGTGGGAGGGAGAGGTTGGAAAGAGAGGACAGAGTCGGTAAGGAGGGGACAGTACCACTTACTTCTTTCATGGGAATAAGAACTCTCCAAGATTTGTTGATGGATTCAACAAGCCTCATGTCGTCATCAGAGAGTGTGAAATAAAAAACCTGCATATGTTTAGGGAATGTTATGTTGTTACCTTTTGCTCATAATTGCTAAAATATTGTTTGTTTCAATGAGTACCAAGCCAATTTGCAAAGATAAAAACCATCAGCTTGATTCAAACCAAAACGTGAAGAAGAACCATGTGTGGGTGGCAATACATATCTTGATTGACAAATATAATGTGTAGCATTCCTCCTCTACTTTTGCTAAATACGTTTTTTTATTTCATATTTCTTTAGATCAGTTTTGACATCTATTCACTTATTTACTGGTAATTACCCATGCAGGGTCATTTGTGATATTGACACTGTGGAAGCTGCTAACAAACAATAAACTGACACAGGTTTTGGTCTATGCTGACAATCCAAAAGAAGTGAATTATCATGCACTCTCTGATTGGTCAATAAGCTACAGCCCTTTCACCCAATAAACCCATATAAAGCTGTTTCATGAAAGCAACAGATCACACTGTCTAAAAAGTTTTCCTGCAGGAGCAATAACTCCCTTGCAGTGCAAGTATAACACTTAATAAGTTTGTAAATCATGAGCCACAGGTGTGCATTTATAAACTTTTCCCATATTGTCTTAAGATCTTGCCTGACCTCTTACACTGCTGAACCAAAAGAAAGTGTGGCCTATTGATTGTGTAAACAATCCCACATAATCTTGATATATTGAAAGCTTACTTCAAAGTTGCTCTGAATGTGGGCAGGTGTGACACTTTTAGGTATAACAGAGACACCCCTCTGTATCTGAAAGTGAATACAGACTTGAGCAGGAGACTTTCCATATTCGTTGGCAATTTCCTCTATCTTTGGGTCATGCAGTAGACTCCAGTCTTCCTGTTTAGCCTGTGGGTGCCCAGGGGATCCAAGTGGACTGTATGCTGTCACTGTGTTAATGACAAAATTATTGAATAAATTGATTGACCTTAATTCCAATCTACAAACAGAAAGTATGAGTAAAGAGAAACTGTCAATTGTAGTGAAGTGGTTTATAAGCGATAATTATACAGCCTATATAGCTAGCAACACATGCTCTCATTGGTCAACTTAAGGGTCATATAACATCCAACAATGAGACTTGTTTCCTATCACACATCTTGCAAACTCTAAGACAACAGAGGTAACAGTGCACTGTAACCCACAAACCTTGACTGACAACTGTTGTCACTGCATACAGAACACAACAGCAGGTGGTATGACATTTATAACATTCTGGTATTTTGCATTCTAATGTGCAAATGTAATATATAAAGAAGTTTTAATCTGTTTTCTCATTGCTTCCTGTAATGTCTTAGATACTCTGCCTTAAGACACAAATGAACTGTTTCCCTCAGGAAGAGTTGTTCAGGGTTGAATGTTTAAACACACCAACAATGTCTCTTTTCCTGCAATGTTCTATGAGCTGAGCTTGATTGAAGTAAGGATGACATTCGACCTGGAGAACAGCAGGTTTTATTCTGCTTTTAGATAGGATATCATCCACTTGTTTGCTGTTGAAATTTAATAAAGTAACCAAAAAAAATGAAATAAATAAATAAAAAAACTGGCAAACTGATAAAGATGGAAACAACTTGCATGGTACTCAAGCTCTATCAAGGAAAACACATTAGCCTGATGCTTAGTGATCTAGGCAACTGGTCAAGAGATCTAAAATAGAGGGGGGGTTGGGTGAACCCTGTGATGTACTGGTAGCTTTGCGAAACAGTGCCTCTTTCCACCCAGGAGTATAAATGGGTACCTACAGCCACCTATCAGGGAAACCTGATGAAATGCAGGGAAGTAGGGTGGTGTAAACCCTGTGATGTACTGGCAGCTTTGTGATACAGTACTTCTCTCCACACAGGAGCATAAATGGGTACCTTCTGCCACCTATGAGGGAAACCTGATCAAATGCAGGGGGATGGGGTGAAGTGAAACCTTTGTTGTGCTGGTAGCTTTAGGTTATAGAAATCAGGCTCTGCTAGCAAAATGAGGTCTCGTTCAGACACCATGCAGCTGCTATGACACACTTCATTCAGTGCTTAAGTTCAAGAAAAGCAAGGCTGAAGCACAGCATTTGAGTTAAACTTTTTAATTTAGTTAGGTAAAGAATTAAGTTCATGAGGCTCTGCTCCGTGACTGAGAGAGCTGCACAACTCTGACACAACAGCAATTCAAACATCATTCCTCTACCAAGCCAAACAAAATTAATAAATTATTTCCTAATTGCAATTAAGTTTGGCATGGCTGAAGTATGACGTCTGAACCAAGCTTTAGCCACTTACCCATTTTCAGAATTTTACCTTTGACCTTTACCCATTCACCTCACAAAAACTGAGATTAAGGCTTCAACAATAAGAGCCAATTTATTTCTGAAATCTCAGAGATTTGTATAATTACATCTGTTAGAAATCCCATGAAAGTAGTCTTTACCAATTGCTTTGAAAAGACCATCATCCACAAGTGTTTCCATTGCTTTGCAAGTATCACATGGATCATGGTATGCATAAATAATATTTCCATCATCATCCTTTGGAAAACTGACATCACCATCCTTAAAGGATACAGGCCACTTTATAAGATACAAGTCAAGATAATTGAGTCCTAAGTGAGTTTGCTCTGCAGCAGAATGCACATCAGTAGGGTTGTGCTTTGTGTTCCATAACTTAGATGTGATGAACAAATCTTTCCTATTCACCTACAAAACAAGGAAAGAAATGAATCCCTGTCCTTTGTGAAGGAGATCCAATTCAGCTGAAGAAGTCTGGCTTCAAGATCTGGCTGCATTGTTGTGTTGCGTTCTAAGCCAAGTATTTCATCGCTCACCGTATTTTTCTGAACCCAGAACTAACTGCACCAGCGAACAGTCAGGGAAGCAACAAGAAATGCTGAGGGTTTAATTAACCCTTCGTACTCAACATCAGTATGCATATTATCGCTCCTTGGTAGGCACAAGCACGTCCTTTTGCGGTGAAAGAAGCTATGTAAACATAATAGGCAAATCTAGACCGGATAAAAGTTCTGCAAAAACTTTTAACATTTTTTTTGCGATATTTTGTAAGTTTGTCGCTTTCCCAGCCCGCTCTTTCGCTCGACTTTACTGACTGAGGGTCAGAGAGAATCAGAGAGAATCAGTCCATAACATTTCTGTACCGTTTTTCCGATACAAGACTTTAAAGCCTGTCCGACCTCTTTTTCATTGCCATAAACCGCTGCGCAGTCAATGTGTCTGTATCCAGCTTTTATCGCCATTTCTACGGCATAGGTGACCTTATCTGGTTTGCTTTTCCATGTCCCAAGACCAAGAGCGGGTAGCGAACCACCGTTGCTTAATTTGATGGTTTCCATGTGATTTTATGGCACAAACAAAAGCTCTCCCAGATGTTCTGCACATTAGTCAAGCAGCTTTGATGAGGACCAAAGAACAGAATAGGACCTAATTAATGTGCTGTAAATCTCTCTAAGAGCTGTTTCTGTTTGGTGTTATTCCCTAGGATAAGGATAAGAACCTGACTAATCGAGCTTCAGTTACAAAGTCGTTTTCCTCCAAGGCGTTCCAAGTATAGACGCGGAGAAACGAGTGATGAGAATCGCGAGCCTCTCCTACTGGGTGCTGCCGTCTGCCCACATATCGGGGGGGTGATACAGAGGCCGAAATTTTTGCATAAGTACATTCATTTTTCAACAAAATAAAATTATCTGGCCGGTTTTTTCTCCTTTTCACTGAAACAAACGAAGAGGAAATATGCACAAGAATACTCAATTGAAAAGAAGAGGCTTTTCAAAGGGGGATGTATATAACGGCGTAATATGTGACTACCGCAGTCTATATACTGTAAGATTTTACGCCACTATCTCAGTCGGTAAATTAATTATAATAAATTAATATGTAATGTAAATTATATTACTGGCGTAAAATTTACATTATATGTATCGCCGACTGGAAGAAATTACGCCGTTAGTTACCGGCCGTAAAATCTTGCATATATACATCACCGACTGGAAAAAATTACGCCGTTAGTTACTGGCCGTAAAATCTTGCATATATACATCACCGACTGGCAGAAATTACGCCGTTAGTTACTGGCCGTAAAATCTTACATATATACATCGTTAGTAAACGGCTTAAAATCTTACAGTATATACACTAACGCAGATAATGACGTAAAATCGTACAGTCTATAGACTGTGTTAGTCGCATATTACGCCGTTATCTAACGACCGTCAGGTGAGGAAGTTAGAAGTTTATGTGTCACTATTTTTAGCACTTTGATTTGATGTTATTGGTGGGTTATGGCACGCTGTCATTGGTGTATTTTGAACCTCATTATTTTTCTGAGTATTGGACGTTGTTCCCTTACAGGTTCACTTTGTTACTGATCGGCTATCACGCTCTTTCATAGTATGCATCCACGCTTAAGGAATTTCAATTCTGTAATATGATTTAATTATATATCAATTTATTAGAATTAATCTACCGACTGAGATAGTGGCGTAAAATCTTACATCTTATATTCCGTTTCAATTCTGCTATCTCTATTGGTGTTATTAGGATTAAATCTAATGTGGCTGGCTTCTCTAACCCTTCATGTGTTACAGGGAGAGCCATAATCAATACACTTAACTTGGTCCTAAACAGGAACATGTCCTGTTTCACAGATGTGTTCTGAAACCACCATATTCTGAATGCAAGCAAGCTGTAGCATGAAAGTGCAGTAGAAAGGGGTAACTACCCCTGAAACAATGAGGGTCACGTGTTCAATATTTTTCTTTTTTTCGCCTTTGCAGGAATTCAACTGCAATGGAACAGTTTTTTAAAACCCAAAATATGGGGAGGTGATACAGCTACAAGGTGACCAGCATCAGAATATCAGTGATTTTCTGAAACAGCTGAAACTGGCCAAACCAGACCAGATACACATGCATGGTTTCTAGAACTTACTCCTTAGCATTGGGGTTTGCATGTATATAAGTTTACTCTTATTACCAAGTAAGATCTAGAAAACAACTATCAAAGTGAAGGCTGATTCAGATCTAACTAGGAACACTGTTTTGTGGTAAACTTTAGGGCTATGTCTACCTTAAAATCAAAACTTTTTTTAAGATTTATGTCTAGCTATGTTGAGTTGATGGTTTCAGTTCTTTGGTGGCTTCTCTTACTTCATGTGTTCACGACAGCCATGGAAATAATTTTAACACTAGCCAGTAACTTGGAAAACATAAGCAATAAAAAAAGAAACATTTCTGACTAGCATTGGTTTGTTTATTTTTTTGTTAATGTGAACAATTGGTTGAGAATTATCATATCTCATGTCAGTGTAAACCTTCAACTCTCATACATTGTAAATGACCAAGACAAAATTTCTCCTAACCATATCAATACAATATCAAGCAGACAAGTGATGAGAATAAAGAAAAATTTCAATTAGGTATTATTAGTTGATCAAATACAAAATACTCTAAACTAACATCATAAGAATTGTATAACAGACTGTAAGGAGAATTACTACTGAGATATTGGGAATGAAAGGGTAAATGTATAATTTCCCACCCAGTTTTTAATAAATTTGTTTTATTTGAGTGTACACTGGTTTATTAATCACTGGAAAGTTGGTAAAAACTGAAATACAATAAATTAAAATAGGCAATTATCATACAATAAACGCTAATCGAAATGTCCTAAACTCGAACAGTGTGATCATATCGAAGGCGTTCGTCGAGGGTCGAACACACAATTTATAGTACAGCGGTTAAATTTAAAATACGTCATGTAAGCTTCAGTACTTGTTCCCCACGAAAAATTCAAGAAAGGACTGTTCAAGATCGTTCTGAAGAAAGGAGCTTTGAGGTCCTGCGACAGTTTCTTGATTTTGTTTGAGTATTTTTTGGTTGTCATAAAATAACCAATGAGATAGGATCTTTACCTGTAAGCTAAATGCGAGTACAAATTTTTTCTTATATCGGGCACATAAAATAGCATTACACCGTTAATGTTTTCGTCCAGTATCAATCATTAGGAGAAGAAGAAATATTACTAAATGCGTGATCGCGTGGTTTATAGCGATTCTCAAAATCCTAGATTCATGAAAACAAGCCATCAAACTATACTTCTCTGTTTTTTATTACTCACATGAAGCTCACAGATAAAGATATACAAAAACTAATAACAATGTTTTCAGTATGTTTGAGCTATTTACTAGGTTATCAATGCGCTAATACTGAGCCTAACAGTAACGTTTGAATTTTAGACGGTAATGTCGTCTCTTAAAAAGTAAATTATGAGAGAGATTTTCCTTGCAGCGTTGAGTCCGTTGAGAGAAGTTCAATGTTTTTTTACTTACGTAATACGAAAAATTTGTCAACACTGAAACATCAGATAATTCGTGAAAAAAACGAACGGGAATTTCAGGAATTGTACACACGCTACGTTTATGGGAAATTCTGAAGTAAATGGATGTAAATGACCTTCCCGATTTTGTTTCCCCAGTATGCGAAAATCTCGATGGATTCCTCCACTAGAATACATACATACATACATACTTTATTGTTACCTCCCCAATGGGGCTTTTCAGGAACAATTATTTAAATTACTAAAGTTACTAATAACTACACAATTAAAATTAATTAAATTTAAGAAACATTTACAACATTATCTAAACTTTGTAGTCGAGAAAAATACTAAAAATAAATGAAGTTTAGGAAAAGCTTATTCTTTAAGATACGTTTAAAAACTTGGACCGAACGGCTTGATTTTAAAAAGGGGTCTTAATTGTTCCAAAGTCCAATAGTTCTGTAATAAAATGTTCTTTGTCATTAGGCTGTTTTAAAAAGAGGTATATTAAGCTTTTGGCCACTCCTAGTTGTACGCTTGGTAACTTGCTCGCAGGAACTGAATTGTGACGTCAGATATTTGGGGCGTGTCCGGAAATGTATTTAAAAGTCATGGTAGCTTGGCGGTAGTATAGTTGATCCTTAACGGGTAACCAAGACAAACTTTTTGAGTGGGGAGTTACATGATCGTACTTTCTCGCGCCACTAACGATTCGACATGCGAAGTTCTGCACAGCCTGCAATTTCCGTATATTTTTCTCTGTGGTATTTGCCCAGACGTTCGAGCAGTAGTACAACTTACTGAAAACTTACTGTAAGGCGTTTATCACGGTTAACAACGACGTTCTGTCAAGACAGTGTTTGACACGGCTAATTTGCGCGAGACGTGCGATACATTCCGATACTGTGGTCTGATATGATCATCAAATGTCAAGTTCGAATCCAAAATCACGCCGAGATCTTTGGCTGATTGTACAGAGGAGATGTCCTTTCCCAACAAAGACAAACGAAACTCATGGAGCTTCGAAGTCATCTGTCGGCTCTCGAAAACAATTAATTTCGTCTTGTCTGGATTTAGAAATAGCCTATTTCTGAAGCACCAGTTGCGTACACCGAATACCTAGAAAAATTAAAACAGTTTCGCGGGTTATGCAATAATCGAATACTACAGGTACGTTCCATTATATTTCAAACTCTGTTTTCAAAAGGAATTCTCACCTTTGTTGGTCCGTGGAGGTAATTCCGAGTTCCATTGCTTACGATGGTAAACGGTTTGCCAAAAAATTGGATCGGTACATTACCACCATTGTGTTCAAAGACGGGAGATGCTGCAAATGCATAATGCGCACTTAGAGTGTTTTCCAAGGGCTTTCCTATATATGAAATACTTTTAAATATTTCAACACTTTTACACCCGGTGCATTGCGTAAGTTTTTACAAAATTGCGGCAAAAGATCAAGTCTCTACAAGGCCCACACCGAATTGATTAAGGCAAAAAAAATCAGCCAAGAATAGGAGTAACTGCCGATCATTTTTCGAAAACCTCTTGTGATTTAACTCCTTTGAGTGCAAGGCCTTCTTTACAAAGCATGTTGAACTAATAAGAAGAAACCTCTCGAGCATATCCTTGAACTCGTCTCTTTTCCCCTCGAAATAACCCAAGAAGTACTGATTTTCAACAGAACAATTTTCAAGGTTTTCCTCAAGGAAGTCAGTCTCCGAGTTGTTTAAAGAAGAATGATTAGTCGCCGCCATCATTACGCATTCTAGTGTCTTAATCAAAAATTGTCTTCAGTTTCTGTATGTCATCCTTTCGCGGGCTTTTGCAATATTCGCGGGTTTCTTATTTTTTTCCCGCTGACCAAAATTACCGTGTACTCTTACCCTCGAACGCCTTCGATATCGCGTCACCCACTCGAACACGCGAGGCGTGTATCTACTTATAGATAAATCAAAACAACACAAATATTTTAAGCGCAACAAAACTACCTTGATTATACACGTTTCGGTTTATAAAT